TTTGATAGTACAGCAAATATAACATAATCTTTCCATATCTTTATTAATTTTAGAAACACTCAATTCGTGGGGCCATTACTTTTTCATGTATAGTTCTCATCATACAGTGAGCTGCTAGTTGATAATGTTTTCGACCTAGAACTGTTCAAATAATAGACCACATCTAGAATATGTATATAGGATTGTGATTGACAAGAAACCTTTCAATTTCATTTTAGCATTCAAAGAAATGATTCAGTCTTGAAGAAGGTGGTTGAATTATCCATTCAACTGATTCTTCTTTCTGTCATACATATCTGGAAGATGGGTCATATAGTAATTGAATGTTTTAGATTGGTAAAAGCAAGCGAAGATTTTAGGTTATGTTTGGTTTGAAGGAAAATGCATGGAAAGGTAGAAAAACTTTTACAAACCTTGGGCAAATGCCTTTTTTTTTTCAATGTTTTTGCATCTATCAATTCTAATGGGTTGTGTTTTTCAAGTTTATCTTGATTCTCCTATAATATTGAGATACTTGACCATGGAACAGAATAAGACGTATAAAATTTTGTCAAACCAAGGGGAACAATATTGATAAAGAGAAAACCACAAAATTTTGACATATGTATCAAAAGCAATGAAAGGAGCCCTCAATTATTTTGTTAATCAAAGAGGGTTCCATTCAAAATTGCGGTAGGAAAGGCGCTGATGTCTATTTCTATGACTGTCATTCTTCTCTTCTGTTTTCATTTTATCTATTGGAAGGACCTTTTGAAAGTGTATTTGGGTATTGTTCTTCACATTTTATCACAGGCAACACAAATTTTATTCTTTTAAGGAACCTAATACTAGTAGCTCTCCGGTAGGTGATAAAATAAAAGAAAGTAAAGTTAGATGGTTCCATCCCACATGGAAGACCACCTACAATAGCTATAAAAACACCATCAGTTATAACTTGAAAGGCTGAAAGAGATAAGGATAGACCAAATATTAAAGAACATGAATTGATGTAATAAGAAATGATTTTAGCATTCATAATTTAACAATTGAACTGATACAATAAAAAACAAGAGTAGATGTAATAAGAAATAATTTAACAATTTAACTAATATAATAAAAAGCAAGAGTTGATGTAATAAGAAATAATTTAAACGTTCATAATTTAACAATTAAACTGATATAATAAAAAACAAGATTCAGGTAACCAACCCCATATACTTGGGATAAGACTTAAATGACGATGATGATTACTGATTAGACACAAATCCAAATTGATTGTATGTTTCTATTTCTCAGTGAAGTGATTTCATATTCTTGTGAAAGTTCAAAAAGGTGATATAATCAAAACTAATTTTGGTGTCGAAAATCTTAAAAGATGAAACCCCACAAAATTGAATATTTAGGATCAACATATATAAATATATATATGGGTGTGATAAGATTGATAAAAGCATCCAATGCTAGCTCTCCCATTTTATATAGAAGAAAAAAAATATGTAAACTAAAAATAGATTACTCCAAGATGGATGGAGCCAGCAGTTGGTGAAGAGACTATTCGGAATCCAAAATAATACCAGAATCAGTCACGTGTCTTGAGTGTGACTCCCCCAATAATAGCCTCTGGTACTGTCAAACACAAAACCTGCAACTTCTTTTCCGTGGATTTTATGGGAGACACAGTGAATAAGGCTCTAGACTAGCCAACAACCTGTTTCATTCAATTCTAAGGCTTTATGATAAAATACCGACTGTCCAAATGATGGCTTTTTTTTTTGTGTGTGTGTGTGTTGGGGGCGGGGGGGAATAAGCCCAAATCCCAGTTGGATGTATATGGGACTCAAAATCTAAAGAGAGAAGAGGGTCCATCCATTTAGCTAGTAAGAATAAGATGGATGGGCCCATAACTCAACCTTGTGCATGCATGGTGAATAAGGCTCTAGACTAGCCAACAACCTTTTTCATTCAATTCTAAAGCTTTATGATAAAATACATACTGTCATACTGATGGGGTTTTGGGAGGGGTCCTTGCTCATTGTATTAATAGTTGTCCTCGCCTCAAAATCTAAAGAGAGAAGAGGGTCCATCCATTTAGCTAGTAAGAATAAGATGGATGGGCCCATAACTCAATCTTGTGCATGCATGGTGAATAAGGCTCTAGACTAGCCAACAACCTGTTTCATTCAATTCTAAGGCTTTATGATAAAATACCTACTGTCAAACTGATGGGGTTTTGGGAGAGGGGGGGGCTCATTGTATTCATAGTTGTCCTCGCCTTCAAA